ACCGCAACTGAGTTTGTAAATGGGGATGTAGCTGGGTTCAATCCCCAGCATCTCCAATTTTTTGTTTAATGCATTTCATGCAAATTTTATCAAAAGAATTTCACTTCTGTTCTGTAGATTTCGCGTTACTGGAATTAAAAGCCTTTGAAAACCTACAGAAGCAGAAAAGGCTGTTATTAAGTGGGGATGTAGCTCAGTGGTGGCGTGCATGCTTTGCCTGAGTGAGATTCTGGGTTCAAACCCCAGCATCTCCAAACACTCCTTAATGTTTAATGAGTTTCATGCAAATTTAAGCAAAAGAATTTCACTTCTGTGCTGTAGAGGTTGCTGCAACTGGATTTATAGTGATTGTAAAACTACAGAAGCAGCAAAGAGTACAATGATGTGGGGATATAGCTCAGTGGTAGAGCACATGCTTTGCATGTTTGAGGTCCTGGGTTCAATTCCCAGTGTCTCCAAGCACTGTTTAATGAATTTCATGCAAATGTGAGCAAAAGAATTTACCTTCTGTACTGTAGAGTTTCCACAACTGGATTTATAGTGTTTGTAAACCTACAGAAGCATAAAATATTGGTTGGGAGTGGCTATGCAGCTCATATGAGCCAGATACTGAATGTACTATGGAAGTACACTTTGACGATGACAGCGATGGTAAAATCATCTGCTCAAATTGAACCCTTGTAAGTTTCAAAAGGTAACGAAAAGATAACTCTTGCGCCAGGCCCAAAGTTAACTTCTGGTCTGTGTTTGTTTATCGGTCTGGTTTGTGTACAGCGTTACCAGAGAAACCTATATTTCTCCCGCTCCAAAAGCACCTCCTGCTGGCAGAGAATGAATTTTCATTTTCAATAAGCCCGTCTGATTTACACAGCAAACATATTTTTCTTGTTATCAGAAATAATCTACTGTTGAGGGACTTTGCTGTTGTTATTGATTCTTTGTGGAAGTCTACCGGAAGTTAAGTTTGGGCCACAAAAGCGTGCATGTGCAGTAACATTTGTTTATGTTGTTGCTGTTGAAACCCTCTAGATGAGAGGGTCTGTATTACCAAAGTCCCTTTAAGGCAAGCCATGTCACTCGGCGGCCATCTTTGAAATGCCTCTCAGGCATGCAAGTGCAGCTCCTATCTCTTTGAATGGGGAAACATCAAATTCCCCAAAACTGTTCGCCAAGCTTACAATTCAATTTCATATTTGAAATTCACCAATGAAATCTCACAAAAACTGTATCATAAATGTTGTTTATTTTGCTCAAATAGCTTGCTAGACTGACTAGACCAGCCAGTGCGCATGCGCAGTCCTAAGCGCACATCTCAGAACGCTGACTGTTTCTAAAGCAACCGGGACTTCTAACGGCAGCTGCAGTGACGCGCTGACTTTACCAATTTGCGATTGGTTCTTTTACTCAGAAGGCGGGGCTTCGTTCAATAGAGTGGCCATATTGAGTGTTGCATTTTTCTCCATTCAAAACTATACGAGTGACAGTCAAATTGTGCCTTAATAACCAATCACATTACAGCCTTGACATCACTGAATTTCAGTCAGAGTTGTGAGACACTCAATTGCCATTTGCGGATACCATAGGAATGAATGAGAAGTGCCGTAAACTGAATCCCACCTGTCGCAAAAAATCAGTGACTTCTCTTATAAAACGGCATGTTTTCAGTGTAAACTCTAAAAATAGTTAAATCCAAAAGTATTGTTTTGTGTAAAACATGTTGAAGATTAGCCGATAGGCTGTCGATTCATTAAATGATGAGCTGTTTCCTTGAAAAAGCTGTTTATTCAGCGTAGTGAAGCCTCTCCTCCATTGACATCCCTTCAAAAAAAAAAAAAAAACGGCCTCTGGTCTCCTTTCTTTCCCACGTACTGCCAAAGCGGAAGTGTTTGCATTAGCCATTATGCTTTTTTGGCTAAAGGTTGCAGGCTTGCCTTCTAGTGGCTTTGCTCTAGTGGCTTTGTATCTAATGTTTATGTACTAGTATATCTAATAATAGATAATAGTATCTACAAAATAAAAACTAGTACCTAATGAAAAACTATTAGTACATAAAAATTATGTACTAGTCACAATGAATTGGAACTAGTCAAAACCTCTCTGACAGATCCCCATAGAAGTCAATGGCAAAAAAAATTATATTTGTTAGTAGTAACAATAGAACAGCTATTAGTCACTATTGAAATAAGCACTAGCACTAGTATCTATTTATTAGGTACTACTATCTAATGAATAAGTAGTAGTATCTAATAATAAGTACCGGTATCTAATGAATAAGTACTAGTGTCTATTTAATAGTTACTAGTATCTAATTAATTAGTACTAGTATCTAATAAATAAGAACTAGTATCTAATGAATAAGTAGTGGCCGGATGAGAACTGGCCCCCCGACTGAGCCTGGTTTCTCTCCATTTTTTCTCCATTCTGTTTTCGATGGAGTTTTGGTTCCTTGCCATTGTTGCCTCTGGCTTGCTTAGTTGGGGACACTTAATTTCCAATTGATATTGTAAAGCTGCTTTGACACAATCTGTATTGTTAAAAGCGCTATATAAATAAAGGTGACTAGTGCAGTGAATTTGCTTTCGCCCCACCTAGGGAGGTGAAATAATGTAGTGATGGGTACTCACGTCACCGATGACGTTTTGACTTTTGGATCACGTGTCACTTAAAGGGTTAGTTCACCCAAAAATGAAAATTAGGCTGCGTTATGGATATTTTTCTTATAAAATTGCATCGATTCGCTACAGGAGGCCTTTGTTCATTTGTGTGTATCTGTTAAAGTCTTTTCCATTACAGGACTTAGACTCAGAATGGTTGTGTCTGTTGCTGTCCCTTCCTTCGCAGGACCGAGACTCAGAACACTGCATCTGCTATTGTCTCACTGGATGGGAGACTCAGAGCAAGGAGTGTCTTTTGGAAGGGTACCTTTATCCCTTTCCGATGAGGAGGAGATTGCAATTTGGTGCTTCTCCATTTCCATGCTGTGATTGGCATGGTTTCCTTCAGAGCAGGGGACATGGTCTTTCCTCCTGTGGAACTTATTTTAATAGTCCAAACACACATTTAGAAGTTATGAATGGATTTGGATGGATCTCTGTGATCTCTCTTTGTTTCACCCACTGCTGCTGCGTCCGGATGTCCTAATGAATTTTGATGGCGGTCACAGGCCAAACCTTAGGAATCAATCTCAAGGTAGGTGACAGGAAGAAACTGCATTTTGACCAATGAGAAGTCTTGTTCTTCCCGGGCTTGGTACCAGAGGTCTTCTTCTTGCCCTCTAACACCATGTCCTAACTACACGCGACACAACGCCGTGACACGTGATAAAAGGTATCTTTTCCACGTTAATCGGAGTTTTTGTCCTAACTAGGACAACAACATACGACAACATATGTCAACATATGACATTAGATAATCTCAGGTGATTATGTGCTTTATTCAAAGTTAAATGTGTCTAATGTGAGTTTGAATATCATTTTGCGTGACCTTATAGCCATACTAAAAGCAGTAAACAGATAGTTTACCTCAGATCTTGAAAATAAATTAAAGCAAATGTATGTTAAAACTGTGAACTCACTGTGAACCAACAAGTGTATTATATAACAAAGATGGTATCAGCCACTCAGTATGTGCATTTAATAATGTTAAAAAGGTTTAATATTTATGAATTAGATTATAAACTTATCCATTTTATTGCGAGTGCAGTGCGCTTCCAGAGAGAGCCTGTCCACACGTGCTTTTGATTGGCTGTGATATTTGATTGATTCTGTCGCGTTGCGTCTGGTGTGGACACCCAAATTGTTTGTCGCTGGAATCTTGTTGTGTCACGTGTAGTTAGGACGCGGTGTAAGAGGTGTCTGGTTGTTGTCCTAGCATCTTTATCTGATGGCACTGGACAGTTTGCTTATGTTAGTCCACCAAGATCCAATCAAAATGTAGCAAACCTTTGTCCACTATTGTGGTCAGAGAGGGGCCCCACCATAAACTGGGCCTTGGAATGTGCTGTTGTTCACTACACTAGTATCTTTTAAAAAGGTACTAGTACCTAAAGAATGAGCTCTAGTAGCTAATGAATAAGTACTAGTACTTAATGGAAAAGATACTATAGTATCTAAAAATAAGTACTAGTAGCATGAAAATAGATACTAGTGCAGTTTATAGATTAAATGTTAAACCGGCTTGCCATAGTGCTGAGGCATTATTGAAACTTGCGTTGCTTTGATAGCGGCTTCAGTTCATCTGTATTGTTGGTTTGGGTGTTTCTCATCTTCCTCTTGACCTTACCTCTATGGGGTTCAGGTCAGGTGAGTTGGCTTGCCAATCAAGCACAGTAATATAATCAGCAAATCGGTTCATAGTATTTTTGGCACTGTGGTGCTAATGCTGTGTTCAAGTCCTCCTGGGACGTTCGTACGAGTTGACAAGTGGTAATAACGACGTCAGGTGCGTTCAAGTCACTTTGCTCGGAACAATATGGCGATTTTACTTTTTTTCCATAAAATTCAACGAATTTTTAAACTTTACATCTACGAAATGATGAATAAAGAATGTGCGTCATTGTGTTTTTGCTTTTTTCTGTTTTTATTCAATTTATGAAGGTGATGTAAACTGAATCATTATGTTATTTGGTAATTATACAATAATATAATATTTTGTATATGTAATATTTTACGTTACAAAAAATTAATCATTTTATTAATTTCAACAAATTTACCATCAATACAGATGCTGCATATCTAGTCTTTGGATGCGTCCATTGCATCCGACACGTTTTCTCACTGACACGCCCCCAACTCGGAAACTCGGGGCTTAAAGAAAATGTTGAGTTTCCCACTCGTAATAACGACTTTGTGGTGGCGTTCATGTGCGTTCAACTCGTAAATACGATCTATCCGACATGACTTGAACGCACCATAAGTCCTGCTGGAAAAGGAAGTCAGCATCTCCATAAAACTTGTCAGTAGACATAAACATGAAGTACTCTAAAAGACAGCTTCATTGACTTTGGAATTAAAACACAGTGGATCAACACCAGCATATGACATGACACCCCAAATCATCACAGACTGCAGAAACTTTACACTGTACTTCAAGCAACTTGTATTCTGTGCCTCTTCACTCTACCTCTAGACTCTGTGGAGGGTGACAATGATAGTCTTCTGGATAACTGTCAAGTTTTGTGTAGCTACTGAGCTAGACCAAGAGATAGCTGGTATTTAGTGTATGAAACTTATAATTAAATATTCTAATATTTTGAGAGTTTTTATTTTTTATTTATTTATTTTTATTTTATTTTTGAGGGGGGCTGTAGGCCATAATTGTAGATTTCAAGTTGTAATTACAATCTACTTGGAGATGCAGAGTAGGGGGCAAGATCCTTGAATGACAGTGCCCAATTTCTGAGAAAAAGAAAAGAAAAGAGGGTCTCTGCAAATAGACTACAAAGTTCAAGCATTAAAAATAACATGGTTGAATGAAAACGAAACAAAAAATGATTTAAATGTGTTGGAGAAAAATAGAAATAAAATAAAATATTTTTTTTCTTTCTTCTGTGGAACACTGATTTTAGTTGTTTAAAAGTACAATAAGCAGCCTACCACAGAAGCAATCTATCCAGCACGGTCATATAAAAAAAAAAGGCTGAATACATATATAAATATCAACAATTCAGTTCATTGTGGATAACAAGCCGTAGTCCTCCAGTCCTCTACTTTAAGGCTGGCAAATATGAGCAGGCGATCCAGTGCTACACAGAAGCAATCAGCCTATGTCCCAAAGAACAGAAAGGAGATCTGTCCACCTTCTACCAGAATAGAGCTGCAGCCTACGAGCAACAGGTTTGACTCTTGTCAGATTATCATTTGTAGTATCCCATGCTACCACCTGCTGAGTGTTTAGCGCAGCGACCTCAGAATAGCTTCTGTAAAGGAGGTGTTTCGTTGTTACGTGCGCACGTTAGTGACTGAGTTTGCGCGTTAGCTGGGTGCTGCTGCGTGGATGATGGCTGCGTCGAAGCCCGTAGAGCCTCAGTCCGGGAGTGGGCTCCCACGTTGGCAGCTAGCACTCCTGGTCGGGACTCCGATTGTCCTCGGTGTCGGAGCTGTCTACCTGTGGAACCGAAGTCGCGGCAAAGAAAAGCAGGGGAAAAGGAATGGGGAGAGGAAAACCCCCGAAGGGAGCGCTAGCCCTGTCCAGGGCCAGCACGGTGCGACCAATCCAGAGCTGGAGAACATGGTAATGAGCCCAATTATAATGCCAAACTGTCCTCGTTTTTAATACACATTATTTATATATTTGGACCTGTTATTTTGCCTGTAAATATTTTCTTGACACCCCGACATTACCACATTCTCAGTCAAGGACACTGCTTGACAAACTAGCCCATGTTAGCGAAAGTGCATTAGCCAGTTAGCTTCCAAACCTGAGCTTCTAAACCACACGTTACCAGAATCTGTGTAGTCTGCTAGAATTGTAAATTTCCCTTGGTTTTATAACCCTTTATAATGCAGGATATATTTTGATCCCACGCCTAATGGTTCAGATTTTTTATATGTATAAAAATGCTGGTGGTGTGTGTTATATACGAGGGCGGGGAGGCAGTCAGAGTGGGACAAATCCACATGTGATAGTTTCCTTGTAAACTATTAGTCATGTAAGTTATCTGTTTAATTATTGCATGCTTGTACTTCATATGTTGACAGCGTGGCCTATATTTTAACGATAGTTATGCCTAAAAACTGTGTCGCACATGGACCTATGCATGCTTAGCATATATGATACAGTATAGTTTCAGTCACACAGTCAGGGTCAAACTCTGCAGTCCATCCCCTCAGTTCATATGGTTCCGGTCAAAGAAAAACTTCATACTTTTTGGTCAAACGACTAGTTTGTGAATCATTCTGATTTAAAATTCTTATCTAGTAATATCAAATGACTAAAGTAATTAGTAAAAAAATGTGGGAACCTTTGGTCACATCTAATGCATACATTAATTACACTTAGAAATGCATTCATTTAAAAATATAAAATAGTGCCTCCTGATTGAACCAGTGGAAATTGTTGAAGTTAAAGTTATGGAACATATATGTGATATTCATGTGCGTGGTAACAGTTATATGTAACACCATACATGAATGTGATACAGCAGCTGCATTTCATCTATTATAGGCTTGCTCTGCCAAACAAAAATGAAGAAGCAAAGTATGTACTTGTAGCTTTCAGCCATAACTTGGAGTCATGTTCCGATTTAAAGATCAGAGAATTCAATCCTTTATAGCAGGGGTGCCCAAACTTGGTCCTGGAGGGCCGATGTCCTGCAGAGTTTAGATCCAACCCCAATTAGACACACCTGAACCAGCTAATCAAGCTCTTACTATGCATACTAGAAACTTCCCGGCAGGTGTGTTGAGGCAAGTTAGAGCTAAACTCTGCAGGACACCGGCCCTCCAGGACCGAGTTTGGGCACCCCTGCTTTATAGTCTCAGAAGGGTATATGCATATATCAAGCAATAGGTGCATTATATATTACAGTATATGTCAGTTGTACAGCAAATTGTAGGTGTTCTTTTTTGATTGTTTATTTTTCTTTTCATGCATATGGGTTAAGGACATTTGGCAGTATGCTTCCCTGTTTGTATTATTTTGAATGTGCTGAAAAGGACATCAGAATAATGCTTCTGTGTATCCTACAACTTGTTGTGGAGTTATTGAGCTATTAAAATGTTCTGACAAAATGGCATGACAATATCTAGTTGGAGTTGCAGGAAATGCGTAAATACTTCCATCAGTATATGCTTCGCAATTTGTGAATGTATATGCTCCTTTTGTACTATCTGTGATATAATTTACTTCATTCTCAATAGGAAGATCACCTCTCTGTAAGCTCTGAGGATTAGACAGACAGACAGACATGGGGTGGGGGATTTGGCCAGGACTAGACAGGGGGAGGAGTCTTAGGCAGAGATTTTAATTTTTATGCAGTTAAAAAGTGTTTTTGGATGGTATATTGGCAGGTGAAGGTGAAATTATTTTTAAAGTTTCATTTTCACTTCATCTAGGTCTATTTGTTAAAGTTTTACAAGCTCAACAGGAACATCAACATGGAAAAAATGAGCCAGTGTTTTCATTTGTAGATTAGGGAAAGACATGCATTAGGCACACAAACAGAATCCCCATGTGAAGCTTACTGTTGCAATACTTGCTAATCAGTAGCTTCTTTTGAGATGAACACTGACTAAGCTTACGACAAAGAACTTGGCAAACACAATTAAGTGAACCTTTTTTTCTGCTGGTCTGTTTGCTGATCTCCTGTCAGATTTGACAAATTCTTGTATGTAGCCTGTCTTCTGAAAATGTAGGCTAATTGCTTTTTTGTGTGCGTAGCTAGCTAGAATATACAATTTTCACATTTTCTAAATGGCAGTGATTTAGTTTGGGTTTGAATTTTACTATATGTTGTTTGAAAAGGGAACTAGTTAATTTCTACTCTGGGTTTAATGAAAAAGTTTAATAGAAGTATAAATATAACATATATAAAAATAATCAAAGCATGCATTTTTTTAAATCATACTTTTGTAGTTTTGATTAAAATAGTTGTGTCTGCCCATCCAGAGTCCCCTTGACAGAGCACAGTCTGCTAAGAATAAGGGCAACAAATACTTTAAGGCTGGCAAATATGAGCAGGCGATCCAGTGCTACACAGAAGCAATCAGCCTATGTCCCAAAGAACAGAAAGGAGATCTGTCCACCTTCTACCAGAATAGAGCTGCAGCCTACGAGCAACAGGTTTGACTCTTGTCAGATTATCATTTGTAGTATCACATACAAAATGTTACATGTCTGAATGATTGTTTTTTGTTTATTTTTGTGTTGTAGCTGAAATGGACAGAAGTGATACAGGATTGCTCTCAGGCAGTTGAGCTGAATCCTTGCTATGTAAAAGCCCTTTTTAGGCGTGCCAAAGCACTGGAAAAACTGGGTAACAAGAAGGAGTGTTTAGAAGGTTAGCATTGTTGCTTGTTTTTGATTTGTGTTTTTGTAATTTGAAATTTACAAGAATTTTTGCTTTGTGTGGAAGATTTTAAAGTCATGTATGATGTGTTTCATTTATTGTTTTTAAGCACCTCATGTTACTAAACAAATTGCTGTCACAATCACTGATATTAGTTATCAAGTTGTCATGAATTGGCTTTTTTTTTTCTTTGAAGATGTGACAGCAGTATGTATTCTGGAGGTTTTCCAGAACCAGCAGAGCATGCTACTGGCAGACAAGGTTCTGAAACAGCTGGGAAAAGAGAAGGCCAAAGAAAAATACAAGGTGGGCATGTGACTGAAAGGTACAAATCTAAGACTTAAACAAACTACATCATATATTTATAGCATCTCTCTTTCTTCTTCCTGTTTGCTTTCTCAGAACCGGGAGCCCCTTATGCCATCTCCTCAGTTCATCAAGTCCTACTTCAGCTCCTTTACTGATGACATAATTTCACAGCCTTTACAGAAGGGGGAAAAGAAAGATGAGGATAAAGACAAAGAGGGTGAGGCCTCGGAGGTTACAGGAAGGTGAGACCTGAGGGCGTTATATTTTGCCCATTCACACTGAGATTTATACACTCACAGTGATTCCTTTCATTGCTTTTAAATTCTAAATGTTCAGTGTTACATTCTTATAATACCTGCTCACAAGATCTGGTGCCTCATTTAAAAAGCGTGCATACGCACAGATTTGATTTTAGAATGTGCATGCGCTTAAATCCACGCCAATGCGCATATTTGTAAAAACTGCCTTTGACGTGGAAAAGTCCTTAGCGTCACGTCAGGGTCTGAGCAGACGCACACACTTTTTCTTGTCGGAGTACTGCAGGTTTTTGAAAATGTAAGCTGTTCTTGCAGCTCACTGTTCTAAATTAAAAAATTTGGACGATGATTGGTTATCTTTTAAATGTTAATGACATTAATTAGGATTTGTTTACAAGGCAGAGAGCTGACACAATTCAGTTGTGCGCAAGTTCAAGATTATTTGTGATTCATAGATTTCACATCTGAAAGAGAGGTGTGTGTGTACGTTTTTTGTGCGTACGTTCATTCTATGAATCACACGTACGCATATTTGAGAGATGATCATAAGATC